GGCAGATGCCCCTGGACAACGTCGGCAACTACGACGAGACATTCCTGGACCTCTGCGCCTACGCGAGCACCGGCGCCTACCTCGTGCCGAGCGACGACGTCGCGGTGCAAGTGCTGATTCCCTTCGAGAAGAGCCCGCACATCACGCTCCTCATCTTCACGCTCGGGGGCAAGCTGCTGCGGATCCTCGTGGGCATCATCGGCACCACGGACATCGCGCCGCACCCCTTCCACCTCTCGTTGGTGAAGGACAAGACGCGCATTGGACTTTTCCAGACGGACAACGGCTGGATCACGCACCGCACGAAGTACGAGGGCTTCAAGGTCTACTTCGCCGACGACAACGTCCTGGGCAACTCCCCGTGCTGCCTGAACTTCGACGGCCACAAGTCCAACACGGACAAGGTCCCGGGCACGCTCGAGGACGAGGCCGTGCCCATATTGCTCCGCGAGAACCAGACCTTCGGGCACACGCCCCTGGCCCACTCGACCGCTATCGGGACCCAGCAGGCGGATTTGCCGCAGGGCATCATCCAGCGCGCCAAGGCCAAATTCGCTGACCTGATGCGCTCCCAGGTCCGCGGCTCCCTGAAGAAGCGCGGGAAGTACAAGGGCCGCGTCTCGACGGCGACTGTCCTCCGGCTCATCGAGCAGGCCTTCTTCGAGTCGGGCGTCGACGACCCGGCGAAGATCATGGACGACCACAAGCGCTTGGCTACTGGGTCGAGGAGGGCTGGCTCATGTGGGACCCGCGGCAGACCATGAACCGCGCGAAGCTCGACTTCGGGAACGCGCTCGGCAAGGGCGACGCCGCGGAGGCCGACGCGGGCGAGCGCTCCGCGGGCGCGCAGAACCTGGACCGGGCCATGGAGATGGCGCGCGCCGACGTCGAAGCCGTCGGCGGCGCCGTGCACAAGGCGTACACGCCGCCCGTCGACTTGGACGAGGCCGCGGCGGTCCACGTCCCGCGGCGTACGCGCGAAGACCGTGCGCAATACGGACTGGTGGTCACGGACGACGACTACGTCAAGGCCATCTCCTCAGAGGGCGCGCGCGCCCTCGCGGAGCGCGCCGCGGAGGCGGCGAAGGCCTCCAAGGTGAGCGAGCGCTGGGAGAAGCGCCGCGCCGAGATCCGGGCCGTCGAGAAGCAGGTCGCCGACGGGGCGCCGCTCGAGAACCTGAAGGTGGGCCAGCTCAAGTCGCTGATCTACGGGCGCACGGGGAGCGGGGCGAAGGCGTCGAACAACAAGGAGGGCGCCATGCTCGCGGAGGCGCGCGTCGCGCTCGGCCGCGATCTGATGCTCCCGCCGACTCCGACGCGACGCGGGGCCGAGGATTCGGCCGACGCTGCTGGCGACGGCTCCGACGGCGAGCTCGAGGACGGCGCCGACGACCCATGACTCCGCGATGCCCGCCAGGCCGCGGCTACCGACGAGTGCGGGCCCGCGGAGGCCGATCCCGCTGGGGTGGTCCAAATTACAACCTCCTCGAAAACCATGGTTTCGGTAGGACCACAGGACGACTTCCGGGGCGCACCCGCCCGCGAGCTTCGGTGTCCTCCCAGATGCGAGGGGTCCCTCGGGGATGGTGGCTCGGCGGCTCCTGTGGTTTTGTTCTTCAGCTCCGCTAGGTTGCCCCTAAAGTTGATGTTTTCTTGGTCCAAATTGCACGAAGCGCGGATACGAAATCGTCATTTAACTTTTCAAATCAACCATCAGATAATTTATATACGGTCATTTTCACTAATAGAAGCACTGTTACTGTGCCTACTGTAATCTCACAATCAACCGGAATCTCGGCCCCGTTTCGGCGAGGAACCGTTAAAAAAAGTCGGAGCGACGTCCTCAAAGCGAGGTCGACGTATCTTGGTCCTCGTTCGAGGGGGCCGGCGTCCCACGCGGTGCTGGGGCGACGCCGGCGGCGCGGAGTCGCTACTGGTCCTCGTGGCGCCTACCCACGAGACGAGGCGTGACCCCCACCTCTTGGCGCGCGTCCGGCGGCCCCTCGGGGAACGTCGTTCGGGCGAGCCCTCGGACGTCGACGTACGAGGGTGACACTCTTTTCGTAGGCAATCATCGAAGGAACGCGCACAGGATCATGTCCTGCTACACGCACAGCAAGCGACTCGTCCTTCTGTTGGGCGTACTCGGCGTCGGGCTCTCGAGCGCGCCGTCGAAGGAGGCGCCGTGGGGGGGGGGCGAGAGGCGCTTATCAGCAACATCGGGGCGGTTGTTACAGCAACCCGAGGTGAAAACTAGCGGGTCATTGCAGAACACCACGTTCATAGTGCGTATTAATCACAAGCACGGCACTATTGTAGCGAACCGTTACCTGGAGGTGTGGTCTGACGCTCTTCAAAAATACGGAATATCGCACATTGTTTTTTACGGTTCCAATTTGAAGATCGAGCATATGCGCAAGACTTTCGGTGGTTTGAATGTTCATATTTGTGAGAATGATGATGATGTTGGTGGATTTTTCTGGTATCATCTGAAATGCTCGAACACTACAACAGGATACACTACAACAGGATACATGTTTGCTCACGATGACGCTACTTTGGATTTGAAAAGCCTGAGTGAGTCGATGGACTCAAATCAATCTTGGTTTACCTTAGCTCAACAACCAATAGTACCTTTGGACATTACGAATGAGATTCAACCAATAGTACCTTTGGGCATTACGAATGAGATTCTCGCTAGCCTTCTTGTGAAGAATGATGGGTGGCATTGGGTTAATACACCATGGGGTGTACCAGCAATATTGAACGCCTTGGATGATCCAGACTTCTCGGCTAAGTACAGGGCATCTCTCTGGACATGTACTCAAGACTCGGGATCGATCCATTTTCGTGGTCGAAGTGATGTCTTCTTCATCTCGTCAAGGCAATACCCCGTATTTAAGGAGGCGGCTTCGCTTTTTGCAAAACATGAAGTTTTTTTGGAGATCGCTCTACCGACCATTGCGTATTGCATTCTTGGGGAGTTTCAGTCAATGTCATTATGGCAGCAAAATCGGCAGCAAAATCCTGACCAGCCTAGCGGACTGTCCCTCCCCCTCCCTCCTGGATATCAGGTCTATCATCCACTCAAGCTGAGTTATCAACACAATTACGATTACCTGATGCAATGGTCTGCGCCATGGTTTGCGCCACTTCTTTAGTATGTTTCCACAACGATACGAAGAAAAGCTCGTTACTGCGGTCTCTGAATTCCAGCGACCTCGGATAGCACTAGGCGATTGATCGAGCCCGCCCAACCTCCCCCCATCCCAAGCAGACCACGCGCCGCGCGCAACAGCCCCCCGCCCCCAAGACACATTCGCGTCTGCCCACCCCCACAAGCAAGCACCCGGCGGACCGCGAACGCGCCGTCGGATCGTCCACGGCGACGGCGCGGCCGCCGCTCTCCAGCTCCGCTCTCCCTAGCACTCGCGCAACGACGTCGGACAAGCTGACGACGCACGCCGCCTCCATTCCACGCGTGCCCAAAGAAAGCGTGGCACCGACAGGCTCCTACCTTGCAGCCCGCCGTATGTAGTAGTAATATATTCTTCGGACGTTCGCGCATCCTGCCTCGCTCCGCCCGCCGGCGACTGTCGTTAGGGACCGCCGCCGCGGCGGCACTGGGGGAAGGCGTCCGCGACGTGCGCCTCGAGGAGCGCGTCCGCCTCCTTGTAGAGCTCCGCGTCGAGGCGCGCGTAGTCCGCGAAGGCTGCGAGGAAGTCCCCCGCGGGGTGGTCCTTGGACTTGGTGTGGGTCGTCGGGCCCCTGTGCTTGTCGCCCTGGACCTTGGCGACGGTGCAATAATATAGTACATCGAACCCAGCTTCGAATTTCTTATTGCTTTTCTTAAGAGCTGTTAACGTTCTCAGGTGCACGACGTCTGCAAACTTTTTGACATGATCAAAGGCAGTGGAAGCATTGCCGCCTTTGTCGCCATCCAGGGCATCAATCCAACATTCCTGTATGTCCTCTCCGGGGTCCTTGTCGATTGTGCCAGCTGCGGCTTTGCTCAGGTAGTTCAACTGGTTCCAGCCTGCCTTGTCCTCCGGATTTACAGTGGAGTACAGCTAAGTAGTTTTGGCGGTTGTTAGCATCACCAACAACTTAATGTCAAGACGGGCCCCACCGGCGCATAATTATATCAAGACGGGCCCCGCTCGGCACAAATTAATGTCAAGACGGGCCCCGCCGGCGCATAATTATATCAAGACGGGCCCCGCTCGGCACAAATTAATGTCAAGACGGGCCCCACCGGCGCATAATTATATCAAGACGGGCCCCGCTCGGCACAAATTAATATCAAGACGGGCCCCACCGGCGCATAATTATATCAAGACGGGCCCCGCTCGGCTCGTAAGAATATCCCCCCAAAATATATCAGGACGGGCCCCGCTCAAGACGGACCCCTCGTTTCGACCGACGGATAACGCTATCGATGATGTGATGCGCCGGCGCCGTGCCGTTTCGCTAGGTGGTGCACGAATCGCGCGTGCGCTAGCGACGACGAGGCGGGAGCGCAAAAAATCCTGCTGGCGGCGTCCTGCGACGAGATTTTCGATCACTGCGACTGCGGGGCGCGCCCCCACTCGATTTCAGCAGCTCCAGGTTTACATATCGTGACAGCTGATATGGGGCAACTCATCGCCTCTCTGTGATCGCCCTGCGGCTGACTTGGGTTCTAATCTCCCCCGCGCGCGCGCGCGCGCGACGACGACGACGACGACGACGACGACGACGGCGGCGGCGGCGGCGGCGGCGGCGGCGGCGGCGGCGGCGGCGGCGACCGACCGGCCCTGAAAGTCGGTGCCAGCAGGAACTCGCCGGGGCCAAGGGGAAGTCGCCCGACACCTCCCCGAGTACGCCCAAGTAGGATTGTAGGATTTAATCAGTTTACCACCCTGTAGCCTGAGCTCGAGGTCACTCGAGGACTACTTCAAATTCAAGCCCAGTGGCCTTTACCGAACCCCGATTAGGAGTAGGCAGCTCAGGCCACGAGAGTGTCGCCTCATATAAGCGGGGTCCCTCGTGGTGCGCTACCACGCTCCTTCTCTAAGAAAAAACAACAAAAATATGAAGGTGGGGCCCGTCTTGGTGTTATATGGGGAAAAGTGTCGATATGATGGGACCATTAATTCCAAGGTAATAATGGTCAAAAATGGTGGACGGTGAGGTCCCTTTTGATGTTTTGTTTAGAAGTGAGGTCCGTTTTGACATTATTTTGGAGGTGCCGCTGGCTCCCCCATCTCCGCAGGACCTAGTCGCGTGCCTGAGAAAGGGCCATCTTATGGTCGCGAACCATCATAGCCAAGGGAACGAGGAGGTCATGGAGCGACTCATCAACCTCTAAACGAACGGGTTCCATGAACCCATACTCTCTGGCCTTCTGGAGGAAGGCCTCCAAATTCTGGCGACTTAAATCGTCAGCCATACCATTAACCCAGCCGGCAAAATGCCGTGTAATCGCTTCCATGTTATGCTGAGCCAAAAATTCAAAACGTCTCATCGATAACTCGTATAAGACTGGGTCTCGCGCCACCCGCACCTGCGGCGGCTCTCGCGCGCGGGCTCGACCGGCGACCTCGCGGCGGCCGCGGCGGCGGTCCAGGCCGAGGAGGCCAAGGTCCAGGTCGAGGCGGTTGCGCCGGCCCCCGACGTGCCGCCGGCGGCGGAGCCCGCGCCGTCCGTGACGCCGTCGCCGCCGACGTCCGCGCGGACGCGGCCCGCGCGCGAGAGCCGCGTCGCGCGCGCGACGGGCGACGGCGCGCGCGTCATCCCCGACGCGGAGGTGCCTCCAGAGATGGAGGCGCTCCTCCGGTCGCTCCAGACCGCGGCCGCCGCGCGCGGTCCGCTCCGGCGGCCCGCGGCGGACGTCGCGGCGCTCTTCGCGGCCGCGACGCGCCTCTTCGAGGCCGCGGCCGTCGCCGCGGCCACGCCGCCGGGCGACGACGACGACGAGCTCGAGTCCCTCGACGCCATCGCGCGCGGCGCGGAACGCGCCGCGGACGCGTTCGTCGAAGGCCGCCGCCCGGACCTCGCCGCGTCCCTCGCGACGATTATGGACGCCGCGGCGCCGAACGCGGCGCCGGAGGGCGACGTGCCCGTCGACGTCACGGTCGAAATGGAGCCTCTCCGCGCGCGGTTCCTGTCCCGCGGCGAGCTCGACGAGGGCCGAAACGCGCCCTGACGTTGCATCAAGTCTTGCACCGCCAGGGTGCGTTCTCCTCTTTTTGCTGTTCCTACTTCCAGCCACCTCCTGTCTCCCTTCACGTTGGGAATGGCCCCTGTCTCCCTTTGCTTTTTCTAGTGCGCGCCACGAAAACGAGCCCGCACAAGCGACGTGCGCTTTCGTGGCGCCTTTCTCTAATGTTGTATCGCGATCGCCTCGAGCTGCCTCTCATACTAACCCGGGCCAGTGATGCTACGCCGATAGAGTTGCTATATCCGCGCGCGTAGCACGAAGGACGATGTGCGCCAGGAGGTTCTTGCAAAGGCAGAAGGCCATCGTCAGCAGATGCTTGAAGCGTTTTTGTGCTGGGATATCATGGTTGAAGCGTTTTTCTGCTGGGATGCTTCGTGCTTCGAGTCGCTTCTCGTCGGAAGTCCGCGAGCCCGTAAAGGTCCGCGTGAGCTCGGCGAAGCGGCCCGCGTCGGCGGGCGCGCGCGGAAGCGCGACCGAGGGGCGAGTCCTCGAAGGCAGCGCCGCGCCTTGAGGAACGGGTCCCGTGTTCGTTGTCGCGGACATGGCGCAGGAGCGCGCGGCGCGTCATGTTCTTCTCGAAGGACGAGCGCGGCGTCGACCAGGGCGCGCGCCCCGAGGATTTCGTCGACGTCTCGGACGTCCCGCGGGACGGCGAGCGCCTCGAGGATCGCCGCGGACCGCGCGCCGACGATCGACGCTCCAGGTGAAGCCGTCGACGCCCAGCGCCTCGAGCGGGCCGCGCAGGAGGTCCGAAGGTCACCTCGTCGATTTCGATGCCGGCGCGGCTGCCTCTTTGTCGTCGACCCACCTTTGCCCTAAATCTGGGCGCGTTCGTCGCCGAGCGCGTGTCCGTGTCGACAGCTCCGAGATCGCGTCGATCGTCTGCATGCCTACATGTAAGTAAATAAATAAATAAATGAAACTAAATAGGTTTAAATAGGTTGGTCGTTGACGCGGAGCCCCGCGATCATTGCCAGCGAGCGCCGGAAGCGACCCTCGTCCTCGGAGGCTGTGAGAGTGTTTGCAGGATTGACCTTCGATGGGATGTGGTGAAGGACGAGCTCGTCGGAGTCGAGCGCGTCGTACAGAAAGCCGCGGCCGAGCTCAAGCCCGGGCCGCTGCGGCAGAGACAAGAGTAGCATAGCGCTCTTCCAGAGGAGCCAGGAACGCCTAGGATACCCGTAACGCAGTCTCACTCTGATCTGGGCTATGCTCCCGCTTTCGCGCTGTGAGCCACCGCGCTACACCTGCTAGCTGTGCGCAAAGGGAGAGGACCACCACAGCCAGCAGTTTTATTTAGCTGGATGATGATAGGTGGTCTAAACTCACTAACTCGTTACCGGAAACATATTGTACTGCCGTAAATGCAATTTCCGTCCACTTGGCCTTTCGTATCTCCCACTAGCCTGAAGCTAAAGGAAGCAAGGTAATCTCCTCCCACAAGGGGACGCTGAGCTCAATTCAATTGAAGAATCTGTGCGACGGAAAGTGACAGGCTCGTTCTTGCCATGGTGGCGCGCTCGACTCGAGCGTTTTTGTATTTATTTTTCGAAGAAAGATCCCGGCGGGCACAGGTCAAAACTACCTGTGGCTGCTGCAAACAACAGTCTCTGTGTCAGTTTCGGTTTGACTGTAAGGTCCAGACTCGTGACGTCATCCCACAAGTTGTGGATAACCCCAAACCGGTTCGCACCGGCGTTCGCAGCTATGGAAATGCGACTATTGTTACCGCAATAGGTCAGCATGCAAACTCTCAGCTCTTCAAACCTACTTATCATCAGCGGGTCGGACAGAGACTTGCTACCGCTCCGCTTCGTAATTCCGCCCATAAGCTTCTCCACTTGACTGTTCGCCGCAGCTGTTATTCCGGCAGAGGCGTCTCCTAGCCTTTCCAAGGACTCGACCAGTCTAACGGCGTTAGTCTGTTGTAGCAATTTATCATTCAATCCCAACCCCTGGTTGCCAGCAGAAACCATGACACCCAAAAAATATAAGCCACGCCACCCCGGACCCCGGGGAAGCGGCGAGCTGGGAGAGGACCACCACAACCAGCAGTTTTATTTAGCTGGATGATGATAGGTGGTCTAAACTCACTAACTCGTTACCGGAAACATATTGTACTGCCGTAAATGCAATTTTTTCGGGGGGCATAACCCCGCTATCCCATTTGAATCTCCCCACCTTAATCCCCCCCGCACGGGGATAAACTAGGCGGGGGGATTAAGGTGGGGAGATTCAAATGGGATAGCCCCGCTAGAGCGGCTGCGTCTCTTCAAGATTTCTTGGCGACGTGGCCTCGAGCCCCCCCGCCAGGCTTCTCGACCCAGGCTTCTCGACGCAGCGCCCTCTCACGATGAGTCAAGAAAGACGACGCGTCGAGGCGATGTTGCACGTAGTCCACCGGGAGATCAACCCGGGCGTTCCAGCGCTCGCCCGTGATGTCAACCTCGATGGCATTCTTCTGAACGTCCGCGCCCGACACGGGGGAATCGATTCCGGTGACAGGCGGGGCGCAGTCCGGGATCGGCAAGTCGGCGAGGTCGCGAAAGCACGAGCAGTTGCGCGTCCACTCGACGCAGTCGAGATCCTTCATGAAGCACGCGCAGCGCGGTGGCGGCTCGCGCGCCATTCTCCGCAGCGCGACCGCCGCCGCGCGGCGCGCCTCGCACAGCGAGCCGCCGCGCGCGAACACGTCGTAGTCGAGGAGCGCGGCCGCGTCCTCGCGCGCCATCGCGGGCCACGTGTCGAGGCGCGCCGTGAGCGCGTGGCGCGGGATCGGCGGCCACCGCCAGAGCGCCGCGCGCACAAGCACGAGGTCGAGGCCCTCGACGACGCCCGCGACCACGTAGCCGCACTCGCGCGCGACCGCCTCGACCGCGGCGGCGGACGAGCCGTAGAAGCACGACCCGCGCCACGCGCCGGCTGACTCGCCGAGCGGCATCCACTCCGCATCCGGGAACGCGAGGCTGCTCCGCTCGCCGTCGCCAAAGTTTGAGTTGTATTCGACGCTCACGACGCGCGGGCGAAACGTCGAGAGCAGCGCGCGCAGCACCCACACATCCGCCGAGTCGATGTCGACGCTCACGTAGTCCGGCTCGAGCGGCGCGCCGTGGCGGCGCAGCAGTGCGGCGACGGTCCCCGGTGTGACAAAGGCACGATGGAGGTTGATGGACGAGTTCGCGAACGTGCTATCGAACAGCAGCCCCCGCCACCCACGTCGCCACAGCGCGTACGTGTTGCTCCCGGCTCCGCCCTCGAACGAGTCGCTGTTGAATCCGATCTCGACGAAGAATTGGTTGGTCTCGCCAATCACGTCCAGCACCGCCTGGACGATGCCATCTTGCGGTCCTTGCGATGTGTACGAGCCGACGCACGCGCACAGCAGCCACACAATCGCAACTCGATTACCGTCATTATTCATTGCCACTGAGAGGCAATCAACGACCTTGAACTGCATCGAGACCTTGAACTGCATCGATATAGGCGAGGTCCAATCGCCTCCCGCAGCCGCCAGCGTCGCGAGGTCCAATCGCCTCCCGCAGCCGCCAGCGTCGCGCGCCTCCTCGAGGTGCACAAAAAGTTCCAAAAATGTCGAAGCGCCGCAATGCGAACGGCCAGATGCGGCGCGAGGACTACGAGGCGCAGGAGCGGGCCGACGACGACCCGCGCGCGCACGAAGTCGTTGACGCCGCAGCAGGCGAAGTCGTCGCCCTTGAAGACCGCCTTCTCGACGACGCGGGGCGTCCGCTTGAGGAACGGCGGGAACGCCGTGTCGCCGCGCACCTCGAAGGGCAGCGCCGCGACGACGGCCTTGAGCGCCGCCTCGAAGCGCGGCTTCGCGCGCGCGGCGTCCCGGTAGAGCTCGTCGAGGCGCGCGCCGCCGCCGCGCTGGGGCCGCGCGGCCGCGCCGGGGCACTCGAGCGCGGCCACGGACGCGCGGAACGCGGCGAGGCCCGCCGCGTCGTTGTTCGCGATGAAGTCGAAGACGGAGTTGTACACTTTCTCGAAGTCCTCGTTGCCCGCGCGGACGACGTCGCGGAGCCGCCGCGCGACGCCCTTCTCGCGCGCGCGCGACGCGATGACCGGTCGGAGGCGCGCGGCGAGCTCGTCGCTCAGCCGCGCGAGCGCCGCCGCGTCCGCGGACGGGTCCGCGAGCGCCGCGCGCTCGGCCGCCTCGAGCTCGGGCCCGTCGGCGATCGCCGCGACGTCGTCGACCATCGCGAGCGGCGTGAAGTCGCGCAGCACGGCCGGCAGGCCCGTCATGTCGCTGCCGTCGCCCTTGAGCGCGGCGAGCTCCTCGCGCAGCCCAGCGATCTCCGCGTCCTTGCGCGCGACGACCTCGTCCTTGGCGAGCGTCAGCAGCTGGGGCAGCGTGCGCTTCTCGCGCGTGTCGAGCTTCGTGCCGCCGAGCACAGCGTGCCACTCCGCTTCCGTCCGCGTCTCCGAGCTTTGGAGCAGGGACCCCGCCGAGCCCATACTTCATGCGTTTCACCTCAATTGCATCAAGCCGGGCTTTGCTCCGCCAGTGGCGCCGGCGGCGCCCCTGCGTGCGCGGCGGGGTGGTCGATTAAATTGCAGGAAAACGGCGTTCCCCGGCCGTCACACCCACGTCGCGCCCAAAACCAAGGGGCGTATCCAACGCCATCGATGGTGACGCGCTTCGCTGGCACGGACTTGTACGCCGCGGCAGCCCCGCGGAGACGAGGCCCGCGCGGTGGAGTAACCCGGAGTACAGTATCCCCCATAGAAATCCGGACTATACTTTTAGGAGTACAGGGGAGTAGGGAGTACAGAACGAAGAGTACGATAAGATAGTTAAGAAGTAGGGAGGCGTCGGGGCATCTGGATCCTGGCAGAACAGGATCGCAGAATCGGAGCACGTCCCAGATGCGCCATCATCGCGGAGACGACAGCAAATTTCGTTTGAGAGTATCGAATTCGCTCTGGGTAATAGCCCGGGCCGTCAGGAGATCATTCAGTTCCGAAATCTTTGCGATCAAGTTCCCAGTATTGCCCCTCGGAGTCGCAGGAGGTGCATGGTGCATCTGAGGCATGGATTGATGGGGCATGGAATGCATGGGATGATGGTACATGGGCATTGGAGTCAAAGGCGCATGCATTGGAGCTCCAGTGAAGAATTGATTGGAATTTGAGATGATGCTCGGATTAGCGTACGGAGGCATATACGAAGGAGGCACAGGCGAGTCCACAGCAGGAGTCGGAGAAGTTCGTGTAGCAGGTGCCGGGGCTTGCGAATCATCCATGAGAGCATTCATCCCATCCATGCCATCATCGTCATTCTCGAACTCTTTATCCAGCTCCGAAGCAAGACCTGAAGCAAGTCGATCCAAGTCCACATCTGACCTCTTAATTTGCTCCGGCATCGTAGCGTTGATCGATTCCACGAGGTCACTGCTAGGTGTGCAATCCTTGTAGTACTTGGTGACATTGGGCGGATGGGAGAGAAGAAGAGCGAGACGTGCGTGGTCTGCGCTGCTCTTCATGGCTCCGGTACGATAAGTCCCTGCATTGGAATCCATGGCTGAAATTGCTTTGAGTCGGCTTGTGACGTGACCCAGGTGCGGGGTGGGTTGGGGACCGGCTGTCAGAGCGCTTCCGAGCTCCGACAGCCACTCGATCCCGCATACGTATGCGTTTAACACAACGCCGGAATGATATATATCACGAATAACTAGAGTTAAGATTTAAAATAAGGGGGGTCGACGATGGGCCCCTACTTCGACGACGCCTCACAGAGCGACGGCAGAGAGAAAACATGACCAGCAGAATGCAGGAGGCGGAAGGGTGACTCCACTCAGAGTAGACCGCTCGAGGCTGCGTCGCACCGGCCTCGGGCTGCGCCCTCGGACGGTACTCCTTGCCCCTCGGGTCTACTCTTCACTGGGAAAGCGCCACGTGCGTCTATGCGCTCCTCGCTGCGTGCGTCGTGTTCGTGCTCGAGCTCGGCGCGACGTCGAGCGCGTTCCTGGGGAAGGTCAATTCGTCGCTCCCGTTTTCTGTCGTGATGTTCAGGCGCATGATTACCCAGGAGGTGTTTTTCTCCGAAAGTGTCGCGAAGGCGCTCCTCTACGTCGCGCTCGTCCCTTCCATGTTCGCGCGATGGTCCGTGCTCGTCTGGCCGGGCGTCCACCTCCTCGCCGTCGCCGCGCTACGTCGGCGACGCGCTCCTGCCGCCGCGGGCCGCGCCGGACTTTGGCGTCTACGCCCCCGTGCCCTCCGAGACGACCTTCTGAGCAATCGAGGCGCTCCGAGGTCGGCCCGAGGCTCGCGCGCGCCCACCGGCCGGTTCCGTCGACCTGAGCCCCGCGCCGCCGCGGACTAAGCTCCCCTCGCGCCCACCGGCCGGTGCCGTCGACCTTAGCCCGCGCGCGTGCGGCGCGCCCTGACAAGCGGCGTACCATAGTGCCGGGCGTGTTTAGGGGAGGCGCGTCAGGTGCCAGCGGCGGACGTGCACGAGGCACCCTTCATCTACGCAGGCTACTGCCGCGCAGGCGGTGTCGCCGTCGCCGCCGCGGTAGAGCTCGGAGACGGCCTCGAGGGCGCACGCGCCGCCGCCGTCGTCGCGCCCGGCGTCCGGGCCTTGTGGCGCCGGAGCTTCGGGAGCGCGAGGCCGACGGCGTAGAGGTCCGCGAGCCAGAGCTGGGCGTAGGCGACGTCGTCGAGGGCGACGAGGCCGTGCTCGTAGAGGGCGACGTAGGCGTCCTCGACCGCGCGCGCGACGGAGCCGCCCGGCCGGTGCGGCGCGACGCCGTCGAGCACGCGGACGACGGCGTCGGCCTTCTCGTACAAGGGCCGCTCGCTCATGTAGTCGGCGAGGGCGTCGTGGTCGTTGCGGAGCTGGGTCACGCCCGGCGGCAGGAACGCGAGCCGGAGCCCCGCGGCCCGGAGCACGCGCTGCGCGACGAAGCCGCGCCAGATGTCGGCGACGCGGCCGTGGACGGACGCGGGCAGGAGCAGCGCCCAGAAGGCGGCCCGGTCGAACAAGGTCGCCTGGGCGTTGAAGGGGCAGACGGCGCCGCCGTCGAGGACGACGCCGCGGCCGTGGACGAGGGGAAGTCGAAGG